TCATCTGCATAGCAATGCATGCCATCAATAGACAGCATGTCATTGATATACAGGATGAAAAGCGTGGGGGAGAGCACCGAACCTTGTGGAACGCCAGCGTTAATGGTCATGGTATCAGAACAGTCACCGTCTACAACGACCGTGATGCTCCGCCCATCCAAAAAGCTAGCGATCCACTTGCAGAGACCCTCGGGGATTCCGTAAGATGGTAACTTCGATAGAAGTGCCCTATGCCAGACCCTGTCGAAGGCCTTCGCGATATCAAGGCTCACAGCAAGAGCCTCGCCCTTGCTCTCCAAGGCTTCAGCCCACCTGTGAGTAAGGTATACAAGAAGATCGCCAGCTGAGCGACCGTGACGGAAACCGTACTGTCGGTCACTGATCAGCTGGCGATCTTCAAGATACTTCAGGAGTTGTGTATTTATAATTCGCTCCATCACCTTGGAAAGCAAGGAAGTTATCGCGATAGGCCTGTAGCTCGATGGGTCCGACCGGTCACCCTTCTTGGGGATAGGGTGGACGTTGTATATAAATATATGTATATATAATCTGAATATAGGAAACGGCTCCAACGATTTTCATAAAATTTAGTATACAGGGGATTTCGGGGGCCATAAATCGATCTAGCTACGATTTATTTTCAGAAAATATTGTTTTATTCTTGTTTTCAATAATCAACTTTATCGATAATCAACTTAAACATAAACTTATTTTTTGTTTATTGAATGAAAATAACAAATAATATAAATATAATTTATAAAAAACACAACTTATCAACAACAAAAAAAACATGCCAAGCAAAGCTCGGTCATTCTCTAATTAATTTAAAACGAAACAAAACATACCGATAGTAAATCCGGTGATGAATCGTCCTATGCAGAGGAAGACGTAGGTTTCTGAGAAGGCTATGACCAGCCAGCCTATGAGGTTCGGCAGCACGATCGACTGCAACAGCAGCCGCCGCCCCACTGCGTCCACCATCATGCCGCCCAGCAGCGCTCCAATGGGGTTGGAGATCACACCCAGACTTGCTGTTGACAAAACGTGCCTTTAGTAAAGCGCTTGGAGAGTCTGCTCAAAATGAACCAAGAGGTGGGGCGCAAAAAGCACAACAAACAATAACTGTTAAGAGTGCTTAGAATAAATTACAGATGATCCTTCAGTTCATTTAACATTTAACTCTAACTACAAGCCCACTGAGTTTCTCGCGAGATCTTCTCGGTGGGTCGCGTTCCCGATCCGGTGGTAGATTCTGCGAAGCACTGCTCTTGCTAGGGTTCGTCTTAGCAACGGCGTCAGGTTTGAGCCTCGTGAGCTCACCTACTTGTTAGGTTACGCTGACGTAGCCTCTCAAAGCCCAGCTTAGGTAGGAAAAAAAAAGTGGGTTGTGTCTGCAGGAGCAAAACTCGCTAAGAATATACCAGGCGTCTTAGACCATGATCAGAATTAAGGCATTCATGTTGCTATGTCTATAGACGCCAGTAACTGCTTAACAAAAGGCCATGACGGTTTATCCACATTTGAGAAAACAATAATGATCTACTCAATAGATTTATGTATTCTATTTAGGATGAAGCTGAAATAGCCTCTCAAGGCTATTAGCAAGGGTTAAAAAAAAACAACTAACTACAAATACTTGCTTAGTGAGATGTAGTGGAATATTAAAAGGTACTCGCAATTGAATAATTTAAAATTAAGTTACGAACTCTGAACCTGTAGTGGGAATCACGACTTCATATTAAGCAGATGAGCTCCTATGCTCAACTCAATAAAACAGCTAATTGGTTAGTAACGCTAGCAGATCAGTTGCAATTGAAAGATTACGGAATATTAGGTATAGAACATTGACAACACAACTGGAGGAACTGTGTCGTGATAACAATATTGTAACATTACCTACATCTGATATCATTGAGGCTGAATCAGTCAGTGATTAGGTACAATAAAAAGATTGCATTGTTTATAATTAAATAAAAATAAATAATTAACGTTTTACGAGTCTCGTGTTGTTTGCGATGTGTGTTTGTAAATATTTGCCGATAACGTCTCAGAACAAGACGCTCTATGACGAACTCGACTCGCATTTGCTACACGAGGAAGATTTATTGAACAAAACATAAAATTTTATTAATTCGTATAGGTATTGTGTGGACTTGAATTTGGCGAATCATGACGGAAAATGCCACTTCTATTTTATTTTTTATTGCTTAAATGAGTGGACGAGCTCACAGCCCATTTGGTGTTAAGTGGTTACTGGAGCCCATATACATCTACGACGTAAATGCGCCACCCACCTTGAGATATAATTTCTAAGGTCTCAAGTATAGTTACAACGGCTGCCCCACCCTTCAAACCGAAACGCATTACTGCTTCACGACAGAAATAGGCAGGGTGGTGGTACCCACCCGCGCGGACTCACAAGAGGTCCTACCACCAGTAACTATTGTTCACTGTTTTAGCGTTTATTGTTTGAAAATTTCAATGAAATCAACTATAAAACACGCTAAATAGTTCTATAAAACATATCGAAGCTAATGTAAACGTGACCACGCATTCATCAGAGTCGTAACCTCCCGAGCACGCAACGCCACCCGTATTTTTAGAGTCACGGATGTGAAGGAGGAACACAAACAAACGCTATCTCGTTTACACAACCGATGTTTGTACGAATATATGCTTATTATTCCACATGTGAAATTGTAAATAACACGAAAACATTGTGTTTTCTGCATCTATTGACACAAAATCGGTTGCAGGTTGTATGTTCTCTCGGATCGTTTGGAACCTCTGGGTCTGCGGAGGGACTTCGGTTCCCTCTGTATTTTGTAACGTATGTTCCATGGGGAGTGCTCTGAGGAATTATTCGAGATGATACCGGCATCTCGTTTTTACCACCGCACCGCCCGCCACCGGAGTAGAGTTCATCCATCCTACCTGGAGCCACTGCGGTCATCCACAGTGCGCTTCCAGAGATCTTTTTTGCCACGCACCATCCGGCTATGGAATGAGCTCCCCTCCACGGTGTTTCCCGAGCGCTATGACATGTCCTTCTTCAAACGACGCTTATGGAGAGTATTAAGCGGTAGGCAGCGGCTTGGCTCTGCCATTGCTGAAGTCCATGAGCGACGGTAACCACTCACCATCAGGTGGGCCGTATGCTCGTCTGCCTACAAGAGCAATAAAAAAAAAATAGATGTAACCTTTGTCTTGTGGGTGAACGAATATAAAGCCCATAGACGTAACTATCTGAATGCAGCCACTCAACTTGAAACATGAGTTCGAAGTCTCAATTGAATCATAAACAGCAGTCCCATCCATTAAACTGGAAGGCATGAATTATTTCGACAGAATAGTCGAGATGGTGATGCCTACCCGTGCGGGCTTACAATACGCCATACCACCAGTAAATGTAATAATACTCAGAGCCGTTACTCATTCTCCGGTGGACCCCTTTGTCGCCTTTTCCGACACTGACGGGAAAGACGGAGTGGTGCTATTCTAAGCCTTAGTTGTATAATTTTCTACCGTAAAATGCAACATTTTATGACATCAATTGGAAAAAATGTTTTCTGTTTTTGAGATTTATTAGAAGACGAGGAATGCGAAGTTAAATTTCTGTTCAGTTTCTCTGAATTTTAGATAACTGCAAAACGTATGAATAGCGCGACCCTAGCCGCCTGTACAATAAACTAAACTATGGATGCAAATATGTTTATTAACATTCATTATGTGAAAAATATAGATGATGTATTGAATTGAATTATCACTACATAGTATAAAACAAAGTCGCTTTCTCTGTCCCTATATTTGTCTGTCCCTATGTATGCTTAAATCTTTAAAACTACGCAACGGATTTTGATGCGATTTTTTTAATAGATAGAGCGATTGAAGAGGAAGGTTTATATGTATAATAACATCCATTAAATAGTGGGGAAATCAATAATAAATTACAGTTTCCGAAGCAAAGCGAAAGGCGGGTCGCTAGTTAATTATATCCGAGTCCCATAGGTCGCCGGTGTATGCCTCAGAGCTATTATACTGTCCGATTTCAATAATTAACCTTGTCAGTTCGCACAAAGAAATCGTATGCACTCGTTTCAAGGCTACGGTAATCGTGATTTCTGTTGAACTGAAAACCTCAATAGGTGGTGGGCATTTAATGTCAACTTAATGTCAATTAATATCGAGTGTCATTAAAAACACGTAGGGTCGTCGGATATGTTAGCCTAAACCTTTAATTCGTTCATTATTTTAATCTGTATATATAAAAATGAATTGCTGTTCGTTAGTCTCGCTAAAACTCGAGAACGGCTGGACCGATTTGGCTAATTTTGGTCTTGAATTATTTGTGGAAGTCCAGAAAAGGTTTAAAAGGTAGATAAATACGAAAATGTTCGGAATTAAATAAAAATAACAATTTTGTTTTTCCTTTGCTGTGTCCCCCGTCGGACGGATTCCTTTTGTCTGTTTTAAGTTTATTTTATACAAAAGTTTATGTTTTTTATTTATCGATTGAGGCATTACGAAGTCTGCCGGGTCAGCTAGTTTTAATTAAAAATAAAAGACAGGCGAAACTTATTTTGGGATTTATATTATTAATAGCGTTTGGGTTCACTCGAAATGGGTCGCGTTTGACCTGAAAAGCTTGTTGTTTTAACATCTCGTGCCAGATCGGGGCGGGCACAAAAATAACATGAGAATTGTGAACTTTATAAATATACGAACTGAATCGAAACATAATTTCATCCTACACACTAAAGTATGTATAAAAGAATACTTAGGTACACGTGCTAATCTGCCTGATTTTTACATTGAATATTTTGCAATTATTACTTGATATTTAAAGATCTTAATCTCTTTTAAAATTAATATTTTGAACAGTATTTAATATACTGTACAAAACTTAACTCCCTTTTCACTGAATAACAGACAGGTGAGTGATTCCGCCTAAGAAATTTTCCTTCTTTAACAAAATATTTTTAAAGATTTTAAATGATAGAGGTTTTTCTTTACATATACACACATATGATATGAGATATTCTAAAAATGGTTTTACAATAATAAAATACTTCATTGCGTTTACTGTACAATTTTAAGAAAATAACATCTAAAGCCTTTTTCCACAAACTAATTATTATTTTACACAATATCATTGAATTAAGTAAAACTGAACACCTCTTTTTTCTTAATGACAGAGAGCTCAGTAAATCTATATAAAAAAAACTTTTTTTTTTAATGTAAATAGTTTCAAAGTATTAATATTAAAAATGACATAAAAAAGGTTTTTCTTTACATATTTTATAATAAAATAATCTTACCAATCCATGAGCTCTGTTCGTACGATATGGACGGATACTCAAGCGAGTACTGGGGCAGCAGAACCGCCGAGAAGCCCTGACAGAAACCCACTGATATGTTGATAGATTGCGCGGCAAGGGCCGCCAACACCTGCGAACAATTATAAAGTCCTGGTACATTCAACTATTTAAAACAAACATTTTAATGACTTGATTTCGATTTTCTGTATTTTTGGTACACGCTGTGAAGCAGTAATGCGTTTCGGTTTTAAGGGTGGGGTAGCCGTTGTAATTATACTGTGATCTTAGAACTCATATCTGAAGATGGGTGACGGCATTTACGTTGTAGATGTCTATGGCTCCTGTAATCAATCACTTGACCATCTAAGAAAACCTTACACACGACGTGGTTGATGATTAGTATCCGTTTAAGTTAGAAATCATTTTATAATTTTGCCTATTTTTTTTTTTTTCAATTTAAAATCCCTCCGATATTGGTTCACCTTTGAATCAAAGATGTTATCTTTATATCGAATTTGAAGATTAGAAGGAGTTTCTTTCGCATACACCAATATATGACCTTTTCCTTAATAATCCTTTTTTTCCTTACATTGTTCGTTAGATTAGTTTTTGTTATTGTGTTGTTTTGTCATAGTTGTAAGGAACGTTGTTATACAAATTCAGCACTATATGTCTTGTTTTGTCGTGCGCACATAACCTATGTTGCAAGCCAGATTTTGTTTCTTTTTTTTGTGTTTTTATGTATCTTTAGCTTGTGATGTGTATTGTGAGCCTAATAAAATAAATAAATAAATAAATAAATAAATGCAGGCTAGTTAGTTACCAGCGATCGCACGTGGTTGAGGAATAATCATCTATTTCTGCGCGACCGCGGCCGTATAATCACACATCGTTACACACTTGTCAACTTCCGCGGATTAAATTTAATTTCCTTTAAATGTATGGTACATACACAATTCATAGCAGTCACCGAGGAAATGATTTGTACGTTTTTAATTCTAAGTATATTTAATGCAATTTAAAATATGTTTTTGTTGAAACTAGATTAAAAACGATTTATGAGGTTTTTTTTTTAATGTATGTAATAATTATATCAATTTCAAATGCCTTATTATAACATGCAAGTTTTTCTTAAGTCAGAGAATCATAATGATAGCGGTCTATTCGGTTCGTGTGTGCGACCTCTTGCTTTTACCTTCCCACCACATCTTACGCGATGAAGAAGGTCATCAAAGGTTGGAAAAAAACCCCGAAGTGTAAACCGTTCCAAATCGGAAGGTTATGTGGCAAATACCGCACGGGTAGATACGGCCACCCTGCCTATTTCTGCCGTGAAGCAGTAATGCATTTCGGTTTGAAGGGCGGGGCAGCCGTTGTAATTACACTGAGACCTTAGAACTTATACCACTTAAAACCAGGTGGGCTGTGAGCTGGTCCACCCATCTAAGCAAAAAAATAAATAGGATCCTTGGTAACGCATTGTGGATGAACGCATGGTATAAAAAAGATGAAATCACAAAAAGGAACCTCAGCGCTCCCCTTGGAACATACAGTAAAAATTCCTGAGTATTCTAGTTAATAATACATATTGCAATAAACACCGGATGCAAATCTTTATATTACGAAAAAAAAACTCTCATCTTAATTTGGTCGTATCCACCAGTACGCAGGCTGTATATAAATTGACGAAAAACCTATTGTGTTTAGTGCATTCACCCCACTCACTCGTTAAGATGTGAAACTGTTTAAATTTTAACCTATAATAAATATTACTGTAGTTTATCTTACCCGAAGACATTTGAGAGACTAACCCGCTAACTCATAATAATAAATCTAACTAATCTTCTAACCCATGATATGTATAGATTCGGTTGTTTGATCATTATATGCATACGCTCTCTTCATTCTTGTGGTTATATCTTTGCCTGGTTGTGATTTAGGTGACTTTTCTGGGAACAACACAACGAGCATCATGCTCTCAATCGAAAGCTGAAGGGGTAAAGTTGCTCCATCATAAAAATAAATGGAAACGAACGCGCCTATCATTTGGGACTCGTGCATCTGTGGCTCTATTAAAATATGCAATTTTGATCTTATCACATTAGCCGTTAAAGTTCTTATTTCGTCGATCATCACTCGATACTAACGCGAATCTTAACAAAGAGTGAACACATTTAAACTTTGAAGTAGACGTCTAATTTCACAAGATAAAATTCATTATCGAAACAAAATTTTAAAATCACTTAAAAACACTTTGCAATGTTAAGAATAGTTTATTGTTTTGTTCCTTAAAATTGATTCACTATAATTTTTTTTTTAAATAAATAAATAAATAAATATTTACTAACAATCACGCCACGTTAACTGGTCCCGTGATAAGTTCGTAAAGAACTCGTGTTACAGGTACCAGATAACGGAAATAAATGTAAGATTTTTATTATACACATACATATATTTAATATACATCCATAACCCTGGAAAAGACATTTATATTTAATTTTATCATACAAATATTTCCCTTGGCGGGATTCGAACCCGCAACCGCCTTGTGTAGTGACCATGTCACTCACCACTACACCAGACGGCCGTTGTTTAGATATCAATGAGTTTTCACAGCACATGGTCATCAAAGGTTGTTTGGTCACTATTAACACACATTGCAGCACACGTGAAGCGGTAATGCGTTTCGGTTCGAAGGGTGGGATAGCCGTTGTAACTATACTGAGACCTTAGAACTTATATCTCAAGATGGGTGGCGGATTTACGTTGTAGATGTCTATGGGCTCTAGTAACCACTTAACATCAGGTGGGCTGTGAGCTCGTACATCCATCTAAGCAATAAAAAAATTAAAAAAAAAAAAACGATTGCCTACACAGACGGGGTGTAATTATCACGTTTCTAAGTCGAGCCTGTCAGAAGGAAATTTCCGCTTGAAAGTGTGCAGATTAACGAAACGTGGTCTGTAAGAAAACAATATTAAGCGGGCACGTTTCTGCGCTCATGCCTTTAATGCTAGACAATCATATCGAATGAACATCTATTAAATGTGTAATTCAATTGGATCGCAATAGCCTCTTAGTTATTCCCATACAAAAAACTTTATAAAAAAATTTAAACTATATTCTTTTAGCTTATGTTGTCTTGGTACTTTTATGCATATCGTGGTACTAAAAACTATCTAAATCTAAAAAACTATTCTAGGACGAGTATGGTATTATAACTTCTATGCGATCTTTCTGGATTATTCGTTTTAGGTGAAAAGAGGTGTTTTATTAAATTTAATTAATAAAAAGTCGTCGTGGCCTAAAGGATAAGACGTCCAGTGCATTCGTATCTAGCGATGCAACGGTTTTCGAATCCCGTAGGCGGGTACCAATTTTTCTAATGAAATATGTACGTACTTAACAAATGTTCACGATTGACTTCCACGGTGAAGGAATAACATCGTGTAATAAAAATCAAATCGCAAAATTATAATTTGCGTAATTACTGGCGGTAAGACGTCATGTGAGTCCGCACGGGTAGGTACCACCACTCTGCCTATTTCTACCGTGAAGCAGTAATGCGTTTCGGTTTGAAGGGTGGGGCAGCCGTCGTAACTATATATTGAGACCTTAGAACCCATATCTCAAGGTGTGTGGCGGCATTTACATTGTACATGTATATGGGTTCCAGTAACCATTTAACACCATAATAATAAAATAAAAATAATAAAAATGTATTAAAAATGACAACAAAAAAAGTAATTTCAACGCAATCAACCATTGTTCTGAACGTGATCATCGTGTATCTCTTAAAACACATGTCGCCCTGGTACATTTTTTGCTGAAACGAAATTATTTGCACATTAAAAATCACGTTGACATCGTTTTCGGAACAATGTGTTTATGTTTTTGCGAGTTTTTCAGTGCGCAATAATCAACAGAGGATACGAATTTATACGAATAAACATTTGTGACCAGCAAACCAGAACGTTTGTTAACATTAATATATAAATAGCAATTTAATGCACTCACGAACATATTATAAAAATTATGATTAAAAATATCTATTGTGAAAAAAGCTGTTTCTCTTTCAGCGAATTTTCTTTATTTGGTAAAATTTGTATTTGTTCTTCAATAAAAATCTTCTGAAATTTAGTTAAAGGGAAAGATTTAAATTGATACTCTAGAGAAGGAGGTATCTACCTATATATATTAATACGTGAAGGAAAAACTTTGTATCCCTTTTTACGAAAATTGCGCCGACGGAGGAGCATGAAATTTCCCACACTTATAGAGAATATAGAGGAGAAGTGCACAATGCTAGCATTTTTTTTAAATAATGCATATAAGTCATATTAAATCAATAAAGAAAACATTACACACACTACATACCATGTATTTGACGCACACACGCATGCATACCACTTATTGTCAAACTTTTGTTCTTGACGTCTGTGGTCAAATTGAGAATAGATTAAATATTGTTTTGTCTTTATTAATATTTTTCTGTAGTGTGTAGTCTTGGCGAAATTTGTGATTATAGAAGTACAATAGTCTTTGAAAATAAAATCATAATAGTGTACAACCTTATAATTTCAATTAATTATAATCGAATTTCGACTACGGGGGGACCACTAGTGCTTAATTAAACCTCCACGGTCACATATTCCAGACCCCAATTCCGTGACAGCAAAGTTGAGATAATCAATCACTTCTCTGTATAAAAATCCAATAGATTTTTTTTTAAATTTTAACGAACAAAATAACGTTAAACTCTAAAACTATTTTAAATAATGTAAATGCAACAAGCGGAACCACAATAGCATTTCAAATACATAATAATATGACACTTCTTAAAAGGCCTTTTAACATTTCTGAAATTAATTATTTGCTATTTCAAAATATAATTAAAACTTCCGTTTGCCTTACGCGCATAATAACTTCCTTGGTTTCGATCTGGAGTCATGTTATCCTTGATGCTTTAGATATAAATGGTTAATCACTGCTTACGGACACATTTCTAATGCTACATCTGTGTTTTGACAACATAATATGTAATGTTCAACTAGATATCAAAATTAGACTTCATTGCCCACGGACTTTAAGAAAATACTTTGTAAAACTTAAAAGTTTCGCCCCTAGTGTGAAATGTTACGCAAATTAGTGTAAAAGTTTATACCGAAATATTCACGGACGTTAAAAAAATATTATTTTAATATAAATTATTTCTTTTGTAGTCCACAAACGAAAGAATTCTACACACAACACAATAGGTTAATTTAAATATATTACATTATAATTTTCAAATACATAATACTTACGTATCAAAAAATTCAAAACACGAGACAAAGAAAACTTAATTATATTTTTGACAGCGGTACCTACTTTAAATCCGAAGTCTGAATTAAAACAAAAACGTCAAATCTTTGCCCCTGCATTTTATTTAAGATATCCAGTTCCTTGTCGCAATTCTACATTAATCATATTATTTGCTTGCTGTCAGTGATAAACAATTAACATAAAGAGTATTTCATCTGAGACACGGCCTGCGCAGATTTGGAAACACAGTTGAGAACTCCATCGACTGATTAATTACAAAATGTTTCTTATTAATTCAACACTCATTTTTAATTATATATAGCACAATTCACTTGAACACAAAATTTACTCACAGTTAAGTTAGCCCCAATTGAATCGAAGTATTTCTCTATCTGTTTCCCTATGTAGTAATACATCCCAACGTTTATACAAATTGCAACATACACTGAACGAAACTTACAATGAACTGGTCGACTTATATTATTTATTGGAACCGATACGGAAATAAAGTTTTGACGGAAGCGACTTTTACGAGAAATCGGGTTTCGCTGTTCGTGAAATTTTAATCTTGTTAAGTACATGTTTATTATTGAAAGCTTTTTTTTTTTAAACTAATTGTAGTTTCATTTATGTAAATAAATAAATTCATGGTACAATAACAAATAAAATAAAATCAGTCAAGATACAGAATGTACAATTAAAAGTGATCTCTTCAACTGGCTGTGGAAAATACACACGAGTAGGTATATGTGTTACAAAATTTCGTAATAAAACCTTTTTTTTTATAATTTCAATGACTAGAGCTACTCCATAAAAATGTCTACATCGTCACAAATATCTACTTAGTAAAATGAAGTTGTTTTATGTGTGGAAATTTAGAATAGTCGTGGTTATGTCTATCGCAGTAATTGACAAATTATTGATATTAATTATTTTTCAACTGCACGAAATATAAAACAAATAGAAGATACTTTAGGTACTAGTTAGTCTCGTCCTTTAGATGTCTTTGCCTATGTTTTATCCCCGGTCATCGTTCTCGACGAACCCGTCGCTTACGACGAAAGGCTCGACGAGTAAATTAACCCACAGACACAGCGCACTGAGTTTCTCGCCGGATCTTCTCAGTGGGTCGCGTTTCCGATCCGATGGTAGATTCTGCGAAGCACGGCTCTTGCTAGGGTTCGTGTTAGCAACGTCGTCAGGTTTGAGCCCCGTGAGCTCACCTACTAGTTAAGGTTACGCTGAAATAGCCTCTCAAGGCTCTCAGCTTAGGTAGGAAAAAATGTTTTATCTATAGCCACCATATACAAATTTCATCTAAAACCGCGATCTGATACCGCGAAACTGCTTGATAAACAGAATTCTCTGTAAAATTTTAAGCACAAATAGCTCTTCTAGCTATTCCTATGTTTGTGTAATTCAGTTCGATGTAGCCTGCAGTGAATGGGAGGCCATAAAATATGTTTTTCATTTTGCTCCGAGTATGTGACATTTCTGTAAGTGCAACTCTTTACTGTGCATGTACTTAAGTCTAGTATCGACGATCGCAACTTGCACTTGTGTTTCATCAGATTTCAGCGGCCATCACTTCTTAATATTTCATTGTTAAATGGACGTTCTCACATTGAACTATTTATGGTAAATATATTCTTTAATTCATTATAAAATATCAAGTAGCTTTATTTCCATGAATGTTTGTGTATATATATGTGTGTGTGTGTGTAAAAAAAGGTAAAATTAATTGTTATTTCGGCTTGCTATTTCAACTTTATATTTCGTTGTTAAACTATCTATGCTATGTAAAAATACACGTGTCGAACTATCGATCGACACCTGTATTTTTACAATGAACGTGGAAGTGACCGGAACGAGAGAAATAGCGGAAATATAAAAAGGAAAAAAATTTATAAATAATTAACAGACATTCATCGTGACTTATTTACTAGGGCAGCATGAGTCGGAAGGATATGCGAAAATAAACCGTAGTGAAACACACGAATCAGCCTTGATCGTGCCGACGTTACCTTCACCCGACCGCGATGTGTCATTGTCTCTTGAGAATTCATGCTCGCCTGGTACCGGCGAACAAAATAATGTCTAACAATTAGAATTTTACAGTTTGATATTATTATTAATTTATAAGTTGTACAACACTTATTAATGTCAAAGACGAATTATGATTACTAGTGGTACCCCGGTAGTCGAAATTCGACTATAATTAAATGCAATTATAAGTTTGTACACTATTATGATTCTATTGTCAAAGACTATTTACACTTCTACGAGTATAATCACAGATTTCGCCAAGACTAGGTACACTTTAGACAAATAATTAATAAAGACAAACAATACATAGGTATTTAATTTATTCTCAATTTGACCCCAGACTATAAGCAATAAGAAAAGTTTGACAATAAACAAATAGTAGGTATGCATGCGTGTGTGTATCAAATACATGGTAGTGTGTGTAATGTTTTTTTTATTGATTTAATGTATTTTTTATGCATAATAAAAAAACATTAACATTCTGTACTCCTCTATGTTCTCTATAAGCCTATATTCTTTATAAGTGTGGGAAATTTCATGCTCCTCCTGATTTCGTAAAAAGGGGTACAAAGTTTTTGCTTCACGTATAATAGGAAATTCATAGCATAGAAAAGAATTTGATTGACTTAAATCGAGAATATAAAGAACTAAAAATCAACAAAATATAATGTTACCGCTTTGATCCGTCCAATTCAATCATTCTGTTTTTTTTATATATCCATAAAAAATCCGACATTATAACAGCAGTGATGGATTGGACGTAAATTGATAAACCTACAAAAACTGTATCATTAAGCGAGACAAAATTAAAACAGCTCAGCGACTGCTGTTGTCAACAACAGGTGAGAAATTCTCGTGTTCGATTTTATAAATTGCGAACGATATGCTAATGCTACCATTATTTATAATTCACGATCGATGACATTAGCATTTTCTAGAATATTCTAGATCGTGTTTCGCTGCTTGTCACGTGAGCGATATGATAATTGTACTCAGGTGTGTGAGACACTTACTCGATTAAGTCAGCTGATGGTAGATCGCGTTGAGAGTAAACTATTATACCTATTTCTAGTTGTTTGAGACTGGTATTTCAAGACTCAAAACCCAGCACCATTCGCGTATGATGTCTATATGTGCGTTGGTCACCTGATCATGTTGAAGAATGTTGATAAGAATGCAGTTCTGTGTTCAAACTTATGTTTAGAATAACAATGCACTGCATGTGTATTTTTAGAAGCTTATTCTCGAAAATTCTGGTTTCGTACTTCGCCAAAAGCTGTTAACCTTATGAATATGTTGAACTTGTTCCCTAAGTTGCTTCGATGCTTGTTTTATTTCTGAACGCGCTGTGTGTAAACGAGCCGCCTCCGCAGGGCCTAATGTTCAGTGCCGCTCTGTCTAGTTAAACATCGCCTGGGGATATCTCAACGTCTCGATGACCCCATAAAACAATGTTGACACCAATTAGAGATCGGATGTCACGGAGCGCCTTTCAAACAACTATAAGCTCTTTTGTTTACATTAACTATTGCAAATCACACACACGATTATAATTATTGAATTAAAACTCAGAATTATTTTTTTATTGCTTAGATTGGTGGACGAGCTCACAGCCCACCTGATGTTAAGTGATTATCGGAACCCATTGGTATCTACAACGTAAATGCGCCACCCACCTTGAGAGATGAGTTCTAAGGTCTCAAGTATAATTACGACGGCTGCCCCACCCTTCGCAATACTGCTTCACGGCAGAAATAGGCGGGGTGGTGGTACCTACCCGCGAGGACTCACAAGAGGTCCTACCACCATTTACTACAAAACGTAAGGAGGTGAATGTTTTGTATGAGTAGTTTTGTTGACACACACAATACAAGCGTGAGGATCGATCTTTTCCCATGCGTCTATCAGCAAGACCTATATTTTGGTAAAGCGTTGAATGTTTTTATTTGTCAACCGTTCCATAGAACGGTTCATCATAATGAGACAGCAAGTGATGTATGGAATTTAAATCGAAATACCCTAATAATAGCCCTCGCTTCGATATAAAGTCAAGATCGTTGACTAATAAATTACGCTTGTAAGACAGCTGTCCTGTCAGATCGGTGCGGCAGGGTGGTGGAAACTTCCCGTGCGAGCTCACAACATGGCCATACATGACCGTACTGGATCGACGACCCGGTGAAGGTCGCTGGAGTCATTTGGGTGCGGCGCTGCAGTTAGACCAGTTATTGTGATGACGATAACCATATTTAAATCAATGCGATAACCAAAGATAAAAGCAAAACTTTTTTTTGTTTTAAAGTTTTACCAATTTTTTTTTCTTACAATGACCATCAAATCGCGTCATTACGAGTGGTTGTCCAATTAAAATAAACAAATATTGAATTCTATTATTTTCAACCCGTAGTGTTTCTAAAATTAGATCAAGTTTTAGAGTCATTGTTGTTTTGCGGTCGATCGTATGCATGTTCACACGTAATCGATATTTAAAATAAAACTGTACACGTAAATAACTATAAAAAGAATTAGTAGGTACATACTAAAGATATTACCTACTTTAATTTTATAGAACCACTTCTTTTTCCACGATGGAAAATGCCGTCTCCAACGTTAACTCACCGAAACGCATGGCTGCTTCTTAGCAGGATCCATAACAATATTCGCCCAAAGCACGTCATTACGGATCCTCCCGATCCATTAACGGTGCTTTTAGATACCACAAGCTCCGGTCACCGTCCTCGCCGAACCCGTCACTTGCGACGAAGGGCTCGACGAGCGAATTAACCCATAGACACAGCCCACTGAGTTTCTCGCCGGATCTTCTCAGTGGGTCGCGTTTCCGATCCGGTGGTAGATTGTGCGAAGCACTGCTCAGTGTTTGCATCACTCCGGCTTGAGCCCCGTGAGCTCACCTACTAGTTGAGGTTACGCTGAAATAGCCTCTCAAGGCTATCAGCTTAGGTAGGGGAAAAAAAAACATTATAGTATTGTGTTACACAATACACAGTACTATCAAACGAAAAACTTCGCAATGACAAGCCGATTCCAATTCTAACATTACAGATATTACTACCGACTAAGGGACGGTGATCACTCACCATCAGATGAGTCGCTTCAAGCTGATAAAACAAAACTATGAGATCATAGGCAGCGGCATTTGGCATGTTCCGATGCTCTTTGAAGTCGTCGTGGCCTAAAGGATAAGACGTCCGGTGCATTCGTGATGAAGCGATGCACCGGTGTTCAAATCCCGCAGGCGGGTACCAATTTTTCTAATGAAATACGTACTCAACAAATGTTCACGATTGACTTCCACGGTGAAGGAATAACATCGTGTAATACAAATCAAACCCGCAAAATTATAATTTGCGTAATTACTGGTAGTAGGACCTCTTGTGAGTCCGCGCGGGTAGGTACCACCGCCCTGCCTATTTCTGCCGTGAAGCAGTAATGCGTTTCGGTTTGAAGGGCGGGGCAGCCGTTGTAACTATACACGCGAGCAAAAGTTTGGAATCACTTACTTGATATTGGTACCGCGCGATCTTGCTTACTAAATAAATTTTTAATTATTATAAAAATCACATCATTTCAAAGGTTCAACTGTCAACTTTAAATTGATATTAAATTCATTCAAATCGAGCCAGTAGTTAAGGAGCTATCCCGGATTAAGTGAAGGAGGTAGGAAAAAAAGGAAATATGGAAAAATAATGAATGAATAAAACAACAAAAATTAATAAATAAAATTTTTATTTAGCCTTCAAATTAAATGTCAGTACTTTGTATTCCCTCCCCTTGCCCTAATAATTCCTCGAAGACGATTCTTCATAGACCTGATCAGCTTTTGAATTGATTCTTGTGGGATACCTTCCCAATTCTCAATCAACTCCGATTTCAGCTCATTCAGGCATGAAGGAGCAGAAGTTCTGGAACAATCCTATTCTTCAGTTCATCCCACACGTGCTCAATAGAATTCAAGTCAGGGCTGAGTGCAGGCCAGTCCAATGTGGCGATATAGACTTCTTCGAAGTATTCAGTTGTTCCACGGGCAGTGTGACAACGAGCGTTATCGTGCTTAAAGAGGAAGCCATCACCGGCATATCCCGCATAGGGAACGACATGTTCCAGCAGAATATTGGAAATGTACCGGTCCGAAGTTAGATCGCCTCCTCGTCCCCCGCCAGGCACGAAAACAAGCTCGGTTTTACCGTCGAAGGAAATGCCGGCCCACATCATACAAGAGCCGACCCCATAAGCCACTGTTTCAGCGAAACAGCACTGCGCAAATCGCTCCCCAGGCCGCCTGTAGACCCAACCTCTTCGGTTGCTACCGTGCAAACACATCCTGCTCTCGTCGGAGAACAGGATTTGCCTCCATTGCTCAACCTCTCAATTAAGATTGGTACGAGCAAATTGAAGGCGTGCTTGTCGGTGAGCTACCGTGAGTTTCGGGCCTGTGACAGGCCTTTTTGGAGTCAGATTCGCTTGCTTGAGTCGTCGACGAACTGTCCACTTGCTGGCTGCTACCCTACGAACATCTCGGAGCTCCTGTTGGACGTCGACACGAGGTTAATGCCGATTTCGGAGAGAGGTTA